GTGAGCCTCGAATACAAAAAGACCGAAAGGTACATCAGGGGATTAACTTCACTCGTTTAAGGTCTACTTACTGCATCCATACCCACTAAATTTGATAGTGCCAGTCAATTGGCCTATCAATAGATTGAGCAGTGTATCTGTTAAGGTACCATGACCCCACAAATTTAAAAGAACTACGTTAGAAGTACAAAAGGAAGTTCCATGGATAGTCCAAGGGGAACTTCAAGCATCACAAACCCAATCTAGAACATGTGGCTATTTATGTCGTAATCATAAACACTCCCCCTCAATCAAAGCTCTACTCTAAGAATTTACACCATTGTACCAAGTGCAATTTTCATCATGTCGGAAATTGCATGGTCTGCAGCATCTATAACTTAAGAGGTCACACCTCTAAGTACTGCAGAAAGACCCCAAACAATGCAACTACAACCCCTGTTGCAGGTTAGAAATCACTTTAGAATACTCACCAATTGCCTTCTCACCCTGAATAACCACATCCTTCACGTCAACCTAATACCTTTGACCATCGAAAGTTTCGATGTAATTATCGCAATGGACTGGTTATCGCTACATCGACCAAAGATCTTATATTAACAAAAAAGTCGTTTAACTACCTTTACCCAACAACGAAGATCTCATGATTTACATAGATAAATCAGGAAAGAATCTAAGAATCATCTCTTGCATGAAGGAAAGATGGTGTTTACAGAAGAGATGATTTGTTTTCTTGGCCCATGTGGTGGATATGCAAGACAAGGGTAAGTAAATCAAAGACATACCGCAAGTGAGCGATTACTCGGACGTATTCCAAAAAGATCTACGTGGAATACCTCTACCTAAACATGTCAAATTCCAAACTGACTTAATCCCGGCTGCAACACCAGTGGCAAGATCTCCTTATCGTCTGGCTCCATAGGAAATGCAAGAACTCTCTAGTCAACTTGAAGAATTTCTTGACAAAGGCTTTATCCGGTCAAGTTTCTCACCATGGGGAGCACTGGTATTGTTTGTCAAAAAGAAGGATTGATCATTCACGATCTTCATCGACTATCCAAAGTTGAACAAGCTCACCATCAAACACCGATATCCTCTCCCAAGGATCAATGACCTATTCGACCAACTAAAAGGATCCTATTACTACTCGAAGGTCGATCTAAGATCTGGCTATCATCAACTCAGAGTCCAAGAAGTAGACATTCCACAGACAACATTCATAACTCGGTACAATCACTACGAGTTTTTGGTTATGCCATTCGAACTGACCAACGCAATATCCGTATTCATGGACCTTATAAATCGAGTGTGTAAACCCTATTTGGATAACTTCGTAATTATTTTCATCAAAGACATATTGATATATTTACGAACCACGGAAGAACGTGGCCAACACTTGCAACTAATTCTAGAACTGTTAAGAAAGGAGCAACTTTATGCAAAGTTTTCTAAATGCGAGTTCTGGATTAACAAAGTGCATTTCCTCCGCTATGTGGTCAGTAGTACAAGGATTAGGCTCTCATCGGAGATTCATCGAGAACTTATCAAAAAATAGGAAAGCCTCTCACCACTCTAACCTAGAAAGACAAAAAATATGATTGGGGAGACAGCCAAGAGTATGCCTTCTAGAAATTGAAACAATTTTTGTGCAGTACTTCAATTTTGTCTCTTCCAGAGGGAACAAAAGACTTTGTAGTATTCTGTGACGCCTCACACCAAGGGTTAGGATGCATACTGATGTAAAGTAATAAATTCATTGAATATGTATCTAGAAAACTTAAGCCAAACAAGGCCAATTACACTACCTATGACTTAGAGTTGGGAGTTGTAGTGTTTTCCTTAAACATTTGGAGACACTACCTATATGGGACAAAGTGTGTCGTGTTCACCGACCACAAAAGCCTTCAACACATCTTTGATCAGAAGGAGCTCAATATATGACAACGAAGGTGGGTTGAATTGCTAAATGATAACGAATGTGAAATTCATTATCATCCTGGTAAAGCAATTATCGTAACAGATGCTTTCAACAGGAAAGAGCAAGAAAAATCCACTTTGTGTAAAAGTTCTAACCCTAACCATCCACTCCAATCTCATCACCCAAACTCAAGATGCTCATCTAAAAGCACTCAAACCCGAGAATATTGTGGAGGAAAACCTAAGAGGTATGGACTAACAGTTCGACCTCAAGGAAGACGGAACATGATATTTCATGAACCGAATTTGGACTCCAAAGTTTAGAGAAGTCAGGATTTTAGTTTTAAACGAAGCTCATAAATCAAGATATTCAATACATCCTGGATCGGATAAGATGTATCTTAATCTCAAAAATCTTAATATGATGGTAGAGATTACCACCTATATCATTAAATGCTTGACTTGCTCCAAGGTCAATGCAGAGTACTAGAAGCCGTCTGGTCTACTACAACCACTGTCAATCCTATAATGGAAATGGGAACATATAACAACAGACTTCATAACAAAGTTGGCAAAAACATCAAGCGGTTATGGCACCATCTTAGTAGTGTTTGACAATTTAACCAAGTCTGCCCATTTCCTAGCCATCAAAGACACCGACAAGATGGATAAACTCACCAGATTTTACCTCAAGGAAATACTCAGACTACATGATGTGCCAATATCTACTATCTTAGACCGAGATAGTATATTCACTTCTAGATTTTGGCAATCATTGCAGCGGCCCCTAGGAACCAAACTTGACATGTGTACTACATATCATCCTCAAACGGATGGCTAGAGTGAAAGGACGATACAAACCCTAGCAGACATGCTCCGCGCTTGTGTGATAGATGTAGGTAATGCATGGGAGACTCATCTACCGCTAGTTGAGTTTTCATATAACAATAGTTATCATACTAACATAAAGGTCGCTCCATCCGAGGCCTTTTACGGATGCAGATGTCGTTCTCCGATATGTTGGGCATAAGTTGGAGATACTAAATTAGCTATAAAGCATGTTGTAGATACTCTACACACTGGTCCTGAGATCATTGATGAAACAACATGAGAAGATCGTGCAAATAAAGGAACGATTAAAGGTCACATGTAGTCATCAGAAAAGCTATTTTGACACAAGATGCAAACCATTAGAATTCAAAGTAGGAGACCGTATCCTATTAAAGGTCGTAGTGTAGAAATGTGTCATTCGATTTGTAAAACGAGGTAAACTAAACCCGCGTTACATCGGACCTTTTGAAATCCTAGCAAATGTTGGTCCATTGGCTTACAAACTAAATTTACCTCAAGAACTTAGTAAAGTTCACGATACATTCCATGCGTGTAATCTCAAATTTAGTGTCTCTCTAATGAGAACCTTATCTTTCCACTCGATGAGATCCAAGTCAACACTAAACTTCACTTCGTGGAGGAACCGGTGAAGATCATGGATCGAGAAATCAAAAGCCTCAAACAAAAGCCGCATACCTATAGTAAAAGTCTGATGGAACTCTCGTAGAGGACCGACGTTTACTTAGGAACGTGAGGATCAGATGAAACAGAAGTACCTGTAATTTTTCATCGGTGCTCCCTCTACTAGTGGAAAGAAATAATAGTAGAGTAAAGTAGCCTCGAACTTAATAATTTTGGGACGAAATTCCTTTAACGGGGAGGTAATGTGACATCCCCAGAATTTAGGGCAAAGACTATGGACGGTCAATTCATAGTAAATTTCATTGTAATTTGACTTATTGTGTCTTAGTGCATCTTCTGTAAATTAAATGATTTTATTTCAAACAGCTCAAACAACAACCATAGTTAATGAGTCTAAAAAACTGAAATTTTGTATTAAGCAGTTATGAGCGAAGCAAACACTCTAATCTTGTAGTACATGTTCTCCTGTTTCTGAAAATATAAAGAACGTCCAAAATGGACTTCGTATGCAAAAGATACGACCGTTATAAGAAACCAAACCAGTATAATACTTATTTTCTTAAAACTGCTAAAACTGTTTCTATCCGTTGAGAGACTTGCACACCTCAGATGGAAATTTCGAGAACATTTTTAGACTCAGGTCATAGTCTATTATTTAATTTATACTAGAAATATTTTTAGCAAAAATATTTGCAAAAGTCAAAAAAACGGACATTCCGGGTCCAATTAAACGCGGATCTTTAAACACGATTTCCCGAAGTTCTACAACTCGAAAAATTAATTCGTCTGAATTTTTAACATCCTTGTAACCGAGACCATTATTCTTCATTTTCAGAAAAATTATTTGATATTGATTTCAATGGCACATAAATCGAGAAAGTTAGAAAATATTTATAAAAGTACGGAAGAATTAGTTCTTAAATAGTTTAAGACCTATACATATGTTTGTATATATAAGCTACTAGTTTATAACCCGTGGGAATCATGGGTTATAAAATTAATTAAACTTTCATAATAAAAATTTATAATTATTAATCAATTATTTTAAATAAATCATTTTAAATAAATTATTAATTAAGAGTTATATCAAATTTTTAAAGTTATTATAACTTCAAATTTAACATATAATTAAAAAATGTAAATTTGAATTTTGAAATGAATTGTCTAATATATCTACATGACACATGGCATAATATTAATGAGGAGTTGTATTAGAGGGACACTTGGCAAAAGGAGATTAAAACTATTCATTTATTAGAATAGTGATTCAGGAATCCCAAAGAATAATAGTCAATCATGTAATCAAAATGTATATAAGTTATGTAATTCATATATATATATATATATATATATATATATATATATATATATATATATATATATATATATATATATTAAAGAAGAGCATGAATTTGAATAGTAAAGTGTTGTCCTTTTTGGCAAGATTGGTCCTTTATGTTATGATTTTGGGTTTTGGGTGTTATTTGTTGTTTCTTATTATGATTTTGGGTTTTGGGTGTTATTTGTTGTTTCTTATAAACCTTATCCCACGTGTCCTCCCTTTCTCATCCTATTTGGTCCCTTAAATTATTAATGGAGGTGTAAAGATAAGGATGGACCTTGATACGTGTCATTCACACGTCTCCTCCACCGGTTCTGCCTTATCTTCCCCCATTGAATTTTTAACATCGGATCTCCATTTCTTCTGTTTCAATGTGTCATCCATACCCTTCACCGCCTCTCTCTTCTCCCTGCTTCGCACCCTCGGTCACGTTATCTTCCCTCCTGCTCCAGCGTCTATACTGAATGATCACCCCCGCCACTTCGCCACCGTCTCCATCGAGCCAACTCGGAGACTGCTCCACAGTTATCAACGTCGGCTTCCAGGTATGTTCTCTCTACTCTACTTTATCTCCTCAGCCATGTCTCATCTCTCGCTTCCCATTTGTTTCCGTTCTTTGTAACACTATCTCAGAACCCAGATTCCTTCAAACCATTCTCTTATCAATTCCCCTTTCTGGCTTCCGATAAACCGAAGAGGTAGACGCCTATTACTCATCTTCACACTCACCGCTTCCAACTCCTACACAGCACCAACGTCTTCACGCATTCGAGCCCTAGATAGGACCCACGTCTACAATCGGTTCATGTAATGAACTTCAACCCTATTTTCGTTTCTTTCTATGCCATTACCTTCATATCCAATTTTAATTTCATTTTATTTTTAGATAATCAGATGAATTTTCCGTCCATCTATTACACAATTGGTTAGATTTTGTCTATCGCCTTCGACTTCCCATCGATCCGCAACCAGCGATTAGGGATTATTGCTCCAGGTACTTAACTGATTTGAACAATCTCTGCCATGCTCTACATCTCTACCAAGTAAATTTCTAACTCTTCTGACAATTCTGCATTTGCTTACGTAAATAACTTTATTTTCATGCCTAAGATTCGTTCGAATTTTGTAGACAACTGATATGGTTGAGCGATACCGACAGGACAAAAGGCTACGATGTTGATTTCTTCTCGGTGTCTCTTCATGAGGTGTCTAGGGATCCTGAGGCATTGACATCTCCCTGCATATATACACAGGTATTACGCCTCTAACACAACTGTACTTATATTGTTTTGGATTGTATTTTATCTCGATGTGAAATGTATTATGTTTAGATTACACTAAATGACTGAAGTATTCAGTATTTAATTGAAATGTATTGTGTTGTGCTTAAGAGTATTTGGAGACGAAGTTTAACAAGTTTTTTGATATGAATGAAGGTTCTGTGATTCATTATTATTTTAGATTGATACAGGTGATGAAGATGATGATGAATCAGAAAATCAGATTCAGAATCTAATGAGACATTTGATTTATCAAAGATCACCGAAATGAGACTAGTGCCTTCAGACCCTAATCAATGTATACTTCCAAAATCTAACTTCAATACATACAGAAAATCAAAATTCAGTTTCCATCTTAAATCTCAATACACTACTTCACAATCCTAATAAATTAACTTAAATTGGTTGATAGTGGATGCTCTCTTCGAGGTGTTCTGTGAGTGTGCAGAGCTCAACCCTAAACCTGTTGAAGGTATATTGCTTGCTTAAATTTACATTTGAAGCCTTTTTGAGCTTTCTACTGATATTTACTTCTTTCTTCAGAGGATGAACCTGAGGAGCATAATTGGATATTCAGTGCTGATCAGCTGGGACCTGTCATGGGTATAATAGGTATAAACACTATTTACCTCTGCTATATGTTAATTACTTTATTCCGTTTAATGTAATCAATTCGTATATTATATTTATGCAACTTACTTTGATGTTTAGATGTATTTGATCAGGAATGGGATTTTTCACAAACTCATTTCACCACAATTGGTCATCCAAATGGACATCATGATCTAGAATGCAATGTGCTTGAGGTATGAACTCTACACAACTTTTCCAATCCAACTTTGATTTCATGTATAACTAAATTCTTGACAAGTGTTGTTTCGATTTTTATATTCCTGTTTCATCTGTTTGTCTTGATTCCATTTGTAATTGGAACCACATGCTTATAGGAAAGTGAGTGAATAAGAATGGATAACCTTTTAATCATATGGTTTTAAAAATGTATACGCCATGTACATTTATGCAACAATGTTTCTAACTTTTTTACAAATTTATGCAACTGACACAAAGTATGCAATATTGATGATTACACAGCTTCAAATAAATGACCAAAGGTTTGAGGATGTTGAAGAAATGGAGAGCAACAACAGAAATGGTGGCCAACAATGATCATCTTCTGGTTAGTTACATGTAACGTTTTTTGATGACAAGTACCAAGTTTGGTACATGATGATGCAAAAGGTTTGTAGGTTGTAGAAAACCGAGACTTATTCTTCTTCACGGTTTTGTTTCTGCTTTCGATTTAGATTAGACATGTTTCCGGTTTCCCCTGAACCAAGAAAACCGAGAAGCCAAGAGTGTCGATTCATGCTCTGCATCAGGTTTAGGGTTTGGACCGGACCGTACCCGAAATATGAGATTTAGCCCGGACCGGACCATTTTAACCTTGAATTGTAAAAAAAATTTCATAGTTACTAAAGGGTTTTATTGTTTTTCCACGGCAAATGTTATATCAAACTGGATAAATTGACAGCTGTTGTGAAGTTTATGAAACAAGATTGCTTCTGCAAGGTGTTTGATGTTATGCCTGAATGTGATAATTCAGATGAACATGTGTTATGGACGTATGGGGCAGAAGAAATTGTAGTTGTTTATCTTAGATCCCCTATTAATCAACAGGAAATTACAACTTGAGGATATTATAGTAATATTTTTTTGTTTATATAACTATTAAGTTGATTAGTTGATTCATTATTTTGCAGTTGAGAGATCTTTAGAGAGGAGTTGATGTACTTGTCGGTACACCTGGAAGTTTATCGATTCAAGGAAAAAGCTTTGAGGGTTGGTTTGCTTTTCTCTTTCCATTTATTTTCTTTTCATAACAAACACACATATATTAATACAGTTAATGGGCCTGTGTTTTTTTTATGCTTTTTGATATATATGTGATTTTTTATTTCTTATCCAATGAAGTGGTTGAAGACATTAAAGAAATGTTCAAAAAGATTGACATTTATGAAAATGACACTGTTACAATTGAAGAATTAAAAACCGTATTGCAAAAGTTGAACGTACAACTTGTAGATTTGGAAATACAGTTGCTTATTGAAGCTGTGAGTCTTTAACTTTTTTGAAATGTGATTCATGTTTTTCAGGTATGAGTGCATAAGTCAAAAAAATTTGTATAGTATTTTTACTGTTTTGATTGAAATTTTTTCCCGTAAAACTTTTGATCGTAATAATAGGCTGTTTTATTAAAAGGTATGCAACCTGTTTTATTAAACCGAAGCATTATTTTATTGTATGACTTTATTACTGAAGCTGCTTAAGGGATATTTTAGGGATATTTTACCCAATTTTTCATAATAATAGGCTGATATGGTCAGATGGAAAGCTGCGACTTAAATTGTGATTATTTTGAAATCTATTTTTTTAAGTATTTTGGTCAGAAAAATCGATTTATGTGTTCTTGATTACAGGGTATTTGGGAATTCTGTGTTTATCAATAGTTGATCAAATGACATTTACAAAGAACAAACAACGGAAAAAATTATCGCATCCGACCCCCGCAACGCGGGGGTCCCCACCTAGTTAGAATTATATAACAACACTAAATATATGCACATTAATATATATATATATATATATATATATATATATATATATAATGGGATAGGGAATATACATTACAGTCCCACCTAAGCTTAGTACTTAACCTCTAAAATGTGTCGTTTTAACTTAGTAAATATACCCGGTTCGGATTTTACTTAGTAAATATAACATCCCCATAACCTTTCTTTCCTCCATTATCGTTTAATCATCCATGTTTTATTTTCTCCATTATCGTTTATTACTTCACCATAGTCAACATTACTGTTTTCCACCATCACGAAGGTCAAAGATAATCAATATTTTTTCTTCGTTATCAAAATTATTGCATCAATCTTGAATTTGCAGCTTCAAGTAGTAATCATGATCCCAAATCGCAATCTTTAGGTAACAAAATGATGTAGTTTAATGAGGTTTACTACCTAAGCCTAAGTGGGGCTGTAATGTATATTCACTTTTCCTATATATATATATATATATATATATATATATATATATATATATATATATATATATTCCAAATACCAGTTACTAGCATATATGACAATTTGGACACTTATTTGTACTAATCTCTAATTCTTTATATATCTTACAAATATACATAGTTAACTTTTAATATGGGAGTGTATATATATTGTGTATGCATTATTGCCTTCAAATATCTCAAACAAATGCCCACATGCATACAATATTATTAAACCTAAAAGTCTACATTAAATTTACTCAAAATATATACCAATACACACACAAATTACATACTTATTAAACTAATACAATGTTTATAAGATTAAACCAAGGTACACCAAATTGACAGCCAAAAGTAAGAAGTTCCTTCCCCATTTCAATTAACATGAAATCTAAATTACACTATCAATTATTTTACAACTCATGAAGTGTTCATCTAACCAAAAGAAATTCTACAAGTTTCACTAAACATTATTCAAAGTATCCTCCTGCATTATACCAACTTTCGAGACATGTTGTTGTTGCCATTCTCTTCCATTGATCGTTCAAGCTAAAGAAGAACAACACTCAAAATGGATCACAATGGTACAACCAAATCCTAATGAAATCTGAGAAATTATACCATTTAAGACTGCTTTCAATCGTTCATAGCTTCCCCTTACCTCTCTTTTCTCATTCTCATTCGTACCATCCAAGAACACCTCCATTGGAAGTGTTTTTCTTGTGTATTCAGCAAATCAGTAGGACAACAGCCACTCCCATTTTTTTCCTTCTTTTTCTTATCAAATGAAGCAACCAAGCACCCACTGATTTCTTTCTCTTCCCCCGTCAAACATCAAACCCAAAATACATTTTTTCCCTTCATTGGTTTCTATAAAAAAAAAGGAAAACAAGAAGCAAAAAAGAGGTTGCCAGAGCAGCCCCCATCCACTCACCTGCTAAAACTGGAAGATTGCAGCCTCGCTGCTTCTTCCCTTCCTTTCTTTGGTCTCGTTGAACATCGGAGGTGCTCCCTCCGCCTGCGATTGATTAGAATCCATCGGACCCATCACCTGTCTTAAGATTTCATTTCTGTCTACCTTCATTTGTTCCTATTTCTTTCCCGTTGTCCGATCAGTCAAATAAGGAAGCAAATAAAAGCCCTAAAATCATTTTATGTTTAAAAATTGAACAAAATAAACCCTCAATTGAACCATTTATACAGAGTGATTCCATTCCCCAAACTTTGGTGTATTTTAAACAAAACAGTCCCCATGGAGATTTCTGAACAAGGTCAATCCAATTCCCAAACTTTAATTCCATTTAAACCATTTCAGTCCCTCCCTTTATTTATTTTAACCAAAGCAGACCTACTTTGGTTAGTCAAATTACCAAACAGCCTCTATAGTTTTGTGAAGTTACAAAACATCCCATGTAGTGTAAATCCGTTACAAAATGGTCCCGAAAGTATTTCAAAGTTCAAGAATCGTGGCTTTCTGGTTTCTCACGACAAGTTTCTCAAAATTAACCGATTCCGTACAAATCAAATTCATGTTTCAAGGGTGAGTGCTTATGTCCCCTTTTAATATTTCCACTTATTTCGGGGGGAATATATGTGCCTATATACTTTGTTTATGTAAACAAATTATCATTTTATACGAAAATGAAACAAGTCCAGTTTATAAAATATGTTTCACAATGTAACGTATTGTTACAAATAACTAGTATAAACTTTTCATATATATATATATATATATATATATATATATATATATATATATATATATATATATATATTATAATTATTTTATCGTGAAATAACTGTTGGATTAGGTGTCTAAGTTCATAACTATTTCTAGAATGTACTTGACCCGGTTGGCATGGTCCATTTGGGTTGCATGGCATTGCAACACTTGGATAGACAAAATGAGAGAAAGGACACTTAAGGTTTATTAATATATTATAAGTTCTAAAATATTAATAATATTATTTAATTAGTATTGATCAAGAATTAATTTAGAATTAATTTGGTGATCAAAAAGAGACTAATTAAATATATGGGGTTGATTGTGTAAATCATTCATTCGTATATAGTGGGCTAATGATCCATGGTTTATTGAGTTGGGCTAAAACCCATAAGGTGCTCCATGGATAGTCCATGGAGGTTATGAACCCATGGATCATGGAATATGAAAAGTCATGCACATTAGGGTTTACATGGAGTAACCCTACACGTGGCACAATATATAAGAAGCTCCATAGCTAGCAAAATCGGCCACTAAGAAAGAACAAGAGGGCTAGCCGATTTTGAGTGTGTGTGGATTTCTCTCAAAGTCATTCCAAGAGTTGTGGTGTTGTGTGAAACATTTGATGCATCACACTTGAGGTGCTAGGCTCACAAGGTTCTCAAGGAATCCAAGCAACAAGAAAGGTATGTTCTCCTACTAGCTTTTATGTTTCAAAGTTCCCCATGCCATGCTAGTTAGGTTAAGAACCTTGGAAAATCAAATTTGCATGTATGTTAGTAAAACATAGATCCAAGTTTTCTAGGGTTGCATGTACACCTTAGGAGTGTTAGAATGCTCAAAACCCTTCTGTGGTATCAGAGCTAGGTTTGTTTTCTTGATACTTGATGCAAATTGTTGAAAAAACTCAAGATTTCTGCATTCTGCTGAGTGAACTCGCCGAGTCCATAGGGGGACTCGACGAGTCCATGTGTTATTTCATCCTACTCGTCGAGTAGGTTCTTGCACTCGATGAGTAGGAGGCCCTGAATGTAGATTTTCGAGTTTTGCTGCTGGAAATGGACTAGAAACATTACCCTAAACTGTTTTGGTCTTATAAAACTTGTTTTAGATTGTATAATGGTTATGCTAATCCATTTACAATGGCTATTATCAAATTTTCAAGTTTTATATGTGTTTATATGATTCCTAAAATTGTTGATATGAATGTTCATGAACTTATGAGTTTTACTAGATCATATGAATTATTTGCAAATAGTTTGTTAGTTTAATTCTTGATCTTGATGTGTTTTAATGGAATCCATAATTTGTCCTCAAGTTATGGATTACCAAAAGTCACTCCTTTTAAAGTCCATTAAAGAACACATAAGT